TAGCATCAAATTATATTACAAATGATAACAGATGAAAGGAAGAAAAAACTTTGAGAACTAAGGGTACAGCTACCACTCTTGTTGCTGGATGAAGGCATGAATCCACAGCAAGGACTACATCTTACTTGGGTGCTCTCTCTCTCTCTCTCTCTCTCTCTCTCTCTCTCTCTCTCTCTCTCTATATATATATATATATATATATATATATATATATATATATATATATATATACACACACACACACACACACACACATATATACACACATAAATGTATATGTACATTTGTGTGTGTATGTGAATTTCTATCAATAGCTGAGTATTTCAGTTAACTTTCTACCTTAGAACAGAGTTAGGTAATTCTGAAGTGTGCAGTCCTGAATATAGTCAGAGCTTAAGATGCTGCTAGATGCACATCTTTATTTAGGCCAGAGCAAGCATTTTCTTTGTCAATTTGCAGCTGATGGGAAAATGATAAATGGAGCTCTGGCATTCTCAGTTTGACAATGAATTGAAGCAGCACTGCCTTGTGCTATAAATTAGTGTCAAGAGTCAGGATGTTAATCACAGGGACCTCCAAACATAGGTGGCATAAATAGCATGTTTCTTTAAAAACTCTACAGTGACTCATTCCTTTTAAATAAACTTCTCTCTGCTATTTAAGTGAATTGTATGACTGACTTGGAGGGTTTTTCTTCCACCCAATTTAGGGTAGGTCTATTTGGCTTTCTAGACAACACTGAAATAGGTTGAGCTCCAAATTAATTTGTTCTGATATTCCATTCTTTCCTTTGTGGAAAGGAGAGGAGATGAGAAGAAAGGAGAAAGAGAGAGAGAAAGGGCAAGAGAGAGACAGAGATAGAAAGTCTGCAGAGACATGGACAGAGACAGAGGGAGAGAGAAAAATAATTCTCTTTATGACATAGCAAAGGAATTAGACTTATTTGGGCCCCTTTCTGGCTAAAGAGGAGAATCATTTTCCAGGTATCAACATCTGATGTGAGTATTTTCACCACTGTTATGCCAGATATGAAAGGGGCATGAAAAAGATAGAATCTTCACAGATAGCCATGAGCTATGCTTTCTTTTAGGATCTTCCAGTCTGTGGCACACATTGGTACATGGTGGTACAATTGTATGAAGTGATCTTTTATCTAGTGGAGTATTGGATTTAGTTAGTCAGGCAGAGTTGGATTTGAATCTCATCTTTGACCCTTGTTAGCTGTGTAACCATGGGTAATCACTCAACACTCCTTAGTTCCACCTTCTATAAAATGAGGACACTAACACTTGCATTATCTACCTCTCCGACTTGCATGAGTCAGATAATATGTATAAAATACACTAACCTAGAGTGAATTCAGACACAGTAGAAAGAGAGCTATATTTGGGGGTCAGAGTATCTGGGTTCAAATCTTGGCTATCATACTATTCGTGTGACCTTTGAGAAATGATTTAACCTCTGTTACTTCTCTGGGGTTAGAATAGATGACTTTATAACTGTCTGTACCAATTTGGATTTACAACCCTGGGTTTCTTTCTACCCAAATGGATCGGAAAATTTGACTGTGTATATTGGTATACAAGTTGCTTACCACATAGTATAGAGGAAGGATCACTGGGTTTATTTTAGAAGTACAGTATACTCAATTGTACCCCATAAGTTCTACTTGTCCCGTGTATTATTTAAGGCCCTAACATTCTTAAACATTAATATATTTTGATGACAAAAAAGGTGCAGATATCAGACAAGTTACTTCACCTCTTAAGGGTTAAGTTTCATCCCTTATAAAATGGGATGAAATAGTCATGCCCTGACTAGATGACCAGGTTCTTGAAAGGATCAAATTAAGCTGTAGGTGTGAAATTCCTTTATTATTATGAAACACTATTTCATTGTGAGCTATAATTATGATTGTTAGGGAAAATAATGCTAAATTTTCCAAGAAATACATATATTAGAAGTTTTAAACATTTTTGCATCACAAAAATCTTAAACAAAGGTGCATGTAGGAGATTCTTTAGGGAAGCATTTATTTACTCGGAAAGGGAAACTTCTACCTCTTGGTGAGATAAGAAAACTACACTATGCACACCCATACATCAGTATACTGTGCTAGAATGGCAGATGAGCTTAGAATCCATTCTAAATCTTGCCTAGTGTATTATGGGCATGTCCATCTACCCTGCTGAAGAAGAACCACTTGGAAAATGTTCATCCACATGAGATTCCTGTAACCAAATGCACTGATACAAATCCAATCACCCAGAACTACATAACGTTGTAGGAAAAATAAGTGAAATCCTGAAAAGCATTTATTAAGTACTAGACACTGCGCTAAGTGCTGAAACAGACTAAATGTTTAATAATTACATGCATGTTGAATCAACTGACTTATTGACTAATAATGGGGGGGTTGAAAGTTACATTTTTTCCAGCATCACCAGTGACTTTCCCCACCATCTTCCCTAGAAGTGAATTAGATGAAAATAGTAAAGTAGCTATTGGAAAGGAATATTAATAATTTACAAAAACCACTATGGATAGAATCAATGAGTTCATCTCTGTAATAATACAAACACATATCTATAGCACTTTTAGGTTTGCGAAGGACTTTCTCACAATAACCCTATGAAGTAGGTAGTACAAATCTATCTATCTATGTATTTGTATATACGAACAGATAGATATATATAGGTAATCAGTCTAGATCTCTGGTTGATTTTATTTGATTAATTTAGGAAACTTATGTTAGGGAATTATCTACTCTAATTTAGACCTTCAGCTCATCCTTCAACTCATAGTTACTAGGATGAAGGAAGGGGGCACTGAAAGCAATTAGCTGGAATATTATTGTCCCCATTTTACACACGGGAAAAAAGCATCTGAAAATTTGCATGGCTTATACAGTCCTTTCCAAGTCTAAATCTCTGATTCTCATTACAGATTGAGGGTCAGAGCTAGAATTCAAAGCCAAAATTCTGCCTGTGATAGCCCTATCATCAGTTTCTACAGCGCAGTCCCCATCTGGGAATCAGTTGGGGAAAGGGAATGCTTGCCGTCACTCCTTAATGGTTCAATTTTTCAACAATCATTATCACCACTAGGGGGCAGTGGTATACATACTTGAAGATAAGCGAAACCAAACTACATCACTAGTTTCCCAAGTGTTTACAATAGATATAGACCTAGTGTCCTGGTGGGGTTCATTGACCACCCTTCTGATTGCGTTGAGGGCTTCAGCTACAAAAAACATCAAGTTCTTGTAACTCTCAAAAGCATAAAAGGAAGGCTGGTGTGGCAAACAAATGGACAGGGTAAAACCAGTAGATGTCAAAACTGTCAGTCAGCAGGACTTATGGAACATCTACTCTGTGGAGGATTCTGCATGGCTCATGATAAGAATTCAGACCCAGAAGCAGTGGACAAAGCCTCTTCTCGGAAGCAGTTTCTAATCCTGTTGAAAAATGTATGATTTAGAATTCTGGGGTTCTTAACCTGGGATTTGTGAACTATACATATTCATATATATGTACACCTGTGCATACACACACACACACACACACACATATGTGTATATGCCTATGTATACGTATATTGACAGATCCCTGGTTATGTGTATACACACATTCATGTTTGTGTGTTTATATGTATATATCGTGATGTAATTGGCTTCTTTTGTAAAATTCCTATGCATTTTATTTTATACTTTTAAAAAACATTATTCTGAGGAGTCACCAGACTGCCAAAGGAATCTATGACCCAAAAATGTTAGGAATCTGTGATAGATGGAAAGAGACATGGCAAATGAGGGAAGAGCCCACGAGTAACAGAGAGAAGGAGAAAGAGAAGCGGTGTAAGTAAGCTGAGGCTGGCATGCAGCATGCAAAAACTCCGAGTCCTCCAAGTCCTCAGTCATTGTCATCCCCAAGCAGAATGACTCCTATACCTCATTTCATTCAGTCTGTGTAATATGGCAATTCTTACTGATGGAACCAGTTAGAATAGATAGGAATTTTCATGCAGAGAAAGTAAAATAGAAAATGCCTGATTGAAACAAGATTATTCAGAATTTTTTTCCAAGTTAGTTTATCCTCTTTTGCAAAAACAACACACCTAAGTAAATATGGTAGGACTAGATATATTCTTCTATGGAAAACACTATTCCCCAGCATCCAACCTCCTGGAGATTATTTGGCTGCCCTGAATTTTTCACCTAAGCACTTAAGATGATTAAAGTTATTTTCAGCATTTTATTGTTATTCATTAATTAGTAGGCATTAATATCTAATGGAGAATACCACTTGGGATTGAAATTCTGATACTTGACCAAGTGGTGTGTATTTAATTTCACTGTTCATGGTCCTTGGCCAGAAGGAAGGGTGAGCTGCTTGAGTAGTTTGGTAGATTATACACTCAAGCTGACTAATCATGAACCATCCAACTGTTCAAGGATATTCTCCCAAACAACTCAGTTTCCTAGCCAAGGACTGGGCTTGATGACTGTGAAAGACATGTGAACTAGACATACAGTCATAAACCTGGGTGCCAGGATCAGGTAGAAGAGAAGGTATCACAAGTTCAGCCAGGCTCTTATTCTTTCTCCCTTCTTTTGGTGATGTTTTCCTCTGTTTCTTCCCCACCCCAAGCTTGTGAGTCAGTACCAAGGCAGTCCCCCTGTATAATTTTGGCTCTAATTGCCTTCCAGTGCCTCTGTCCTTGACTTAGCAACTGAACTGTGTTGTGTTTTCCTGGTCTCATTTCCTATTTGCTCATCTGCTTTACCCCTCATCCTGACCTTCTTGTTTCTGATCCTGGTGTGGTAACCTAACTCCAAACCTGGTTATGACCAGGTTATATCCAACTGTAAGTGACTCAGTAGGAAAGCATCAAGTCTTTTCTACTGCCACTATTTTTCAGGTCATATTCACCTTTCGAAAAGCCCAAGATGGAAATAGTAATGCCCTAACTGGGATGACCTTAGCTCCTCCCTTGTTTACCTTAGGGTCTCTCCAGATGATCCCCTTCTTTTCCACAGGTTGACTAGGCTGCTTGACCGGCTGGCAGCTGAGGATGACTTCCCATCTCCTACATGCATCCGTACCACTGTAGAGGTTGTGAAGGCGCTTCTCACATTTCTCTCTGGCTTGGCCAGAATGATGTACACCTTCGGCACAAACATGCAGCCCAGGGCCACAGTGGCACTGAGGCTGACCGAGAAACACATGGTGATGATTTTGTAGTTGCTTCCAAAATATATGGGCACAAAGGCCAGCCATATGATGCAAGTGGTGTACATTGTGAAGGCGATGTACTTGGCCTCATTGAAATTAGCTGGAACATTTCTGGTCTTGAATGCATAAAAGGTACAGCTTAAAATTAATAATCCATTATAACCAAGGGGAGTTACAACGCCAAGGTTGGTGGTGTTGCAGATCAAGTAGACTTCCCGAATACTTGGGTAGTCATGCATTATGTCAGGAGGCTCCATTATGAAAAGGGCAACAATTATGCCAAGCTGAATGCAAATCAGGATGAATGCAATGACTAGCTGAGCACAGGCACTCATGAACCTTGGCTTCTTGGTACAGATCTTTTTCTTGCTGCCTGCCAGAATTCTGGCGATGCGATTGGTTTTGGTGACCAGTGCAGAGTAGCTCATGGCTGGAGAGAGGCCAATGCCTATTCTCTGAAGGTAGCAATAAATCTGCTTAGGCTTTGCGATGAGACAGAAAGTACACAAGTACCCCAAGCAGATGCCTGCCAGAATAATATAGCAGAGTTCCCGGCTAGAAGATTTGACAACTGGAGTGTCCCGGTACATGATGAAGATTGCTGTAACAAACAGGGTGGCCAGCAGGCCCAGGCAGGAAAACACCACAGCTGCAATTGGTTCTGGATCACCCCATCTCAGATACTGCACTGGGATCAGATCGCAACCTGTGGAAAGAGAGAGCCACAGTGAGAAGGAACGAGGGACAGGGGACTCACCTGGCTCTCATTTTCTTCGGATTACTATAGTTTTGCTTTTGGAAAGAAGCTGTAGCTTTCAGCTTAAAGATCTTTAATGTCTTTCCATGAATCAGGGAAGAGGATAGAGAACAGACGTGTGATTTCACTGATACAGGAAATACTCAGATGTGAAAAGAAAAGTCTCTTTACTAATTCAGGTCTCCACCTTCTGTAATCTTAGAGACTCATCTAGAGCACTGAGAAGTTAGGTGACTTGATCAGGGTCATACAACCAGCATGTGTTAGAGGCAGGTCTAGAAATCAGATCTTCCTGCCTTTAAGGCCAGTTCTTATTTTTATTTATTTTATTTTATTTTATTTTCTCTGGCTAGGCAATGGGGTTAAGTGACTTGTCCAGGGTCATGCAGCTAGTAAGTGTTATGTGTCTGAGGCCAGATTTGAACTCAGATCCTCCTGAATCCAGGGCCGGTGCTCTATCCACTGTGCCACCTAGCTGCCCCAGAGGCCAGTTTTTTATTCACTATGCCACACTACCTGTCTTAATGCATTTTTAAGGTAAGTAAAATGGAAAACATTGCATACTTTATAGAATTTCATTCAGAATAGGTTTTTTAAATATTTATTTTTAATTTATGAAATAAAAGAAGCACTTCCATAACATGGTAGAATAAATAAAAAGAAGACTGCACATGAAACTGTAACTCTATTATATACAACTTGCTATTCCTTTTAAATATATAATAAAGTTATCATGTAAATTTATTTTTTTTCTTCCTGTGTTTGACAAGTGAAAGGACTTAAGTTTTGGGGATAAGAATTCATTATTTGGTGAAAACTGGAAAGCAGTCTGACAGAAATTGGACATAGACCAATATCTTGCACCATTTACCAAGATAAGGTCAAAATGGACACGTGACCTACATATAAAGAGAGATATTACAAGAAAATTTGAAAAAATATGGAACACATTATATATCAGACTTATGGATAGGCAAACAATTTATGAATGAACAAGAGATAAAGAGCAGAATGAGGTAGAAAATGAATAATTTTGATTCCATTAAATTTTATTCAATATAAACAAATATCTATTATACCTATAAGTATATGTACACATGTACACTGAGATTAAAAACCAGCAGACACAGGTTAGTTATATACTTAAAGTCAGCTACTGAAATATATGCCATGTTATATGTTTTAGGCTCATTCTTACATATTCAGATTGAATTTAAAATACTTTATTTGATTAAGGTCCTAAAAATTCTCTCTCATATATCCTGGAGTATTGTTATGAATAATAACATTTAGACTATAAATATATTTAATTTTCTTAATGCATAAGACTGATCGTCTTACTCCTCAAGTCAAAACTTTTTCATGACTCCTAATTCTTATGTGGAATGGCATGTGTAAGGTCTGATTCAGCTCTATCTTTCCATGCCTTCTCTGGATAATAACTATATAGTTGGTTCCAGGAACCACAACCCACAGCTTCATTCTGGGAGATTCCTATGAAGTTCTGGCTGTTCTCTTTCACTTAAAATAAAAGTAAAATTGGGAATATGGTTGCCATAGTAGCATTCCTTTAAATGTCCACAATAGTTTTCTGATAAAGGAATCCAGTCATGTTTTGTATGATATAAGAATCCTTTCATTCCCCCCCCCCAACACACACACACAAAGAGAAGCAACTATTAAGGGGTTTTTTTTAATACTTCATAATGCAAGATTGTGTGAGCTATTATTTTTTCTCAATTTTTTTTAAACCTCCAACTCATCTTTATTGCTAAATCTTAATTGTCAACTAATTGGATATAATTAGTCATTAATGTCCACATTTTACATATGTTGTTACCATTCTTTTAGGTTGGAAATATTTCAAAATTCCTTGCCTTAAGTCTATTATAATTATGAATGAACCTAAAGAGAAAATTTCTTTGGCCATGTGTATTTTAAGTTTTCTACACAAATATACTAGTGGAGCATGTCAGGCAAATATATGTTCAAGTACTGCCATTGACACTAACTATATGACCTTAGCAAATACCTTCACTTCCAAGTGCCAGAATCTAGGTGACAGGTGATTTTTCTGGGGCTGTATTAGTGCAGAAAGTTTCCATATAGGGGTTTGCCTTTACAAACGAAATCTCAGTTACAGAATATGAAAAGAGATAACTTTTTTGACAAATATAATCCAACTTAAAGGAAACTTTCAGGAATAAATGAGATCTTCTGTCATTACAGGGTCAAAGACTTACAGCTGGGAAGTCAGAGTCTGGGCAATCTGACTTCCTAATTTATACAGCAGGAAATTAGGGACAGAGAGATTAAACACCTTGTCCAAAATCACCCAGATAGTTAAACGCAGAGCTAGGACTTGAACCCAGACACTCAGGCTCCAAATCTAACATTCATTCCTCTGCATTGTACTTCCCTTACAACATATGTGACCTGGCTTATATCACAAATAATCAATCATCAGCCACTGAGAGCAGAATTTGCTGACATTAAAATACACATGGGTTAGCTAGGTGGTGCAATGGATACTGCATTGGGCCTGGAGTCAGGAGGATCCAAGTTCAAATTCAGGCTCAGACATGAAATAGCTGTGGTACCCTGGGAAAGTCACTTAACCCTATTTGCCTCAGTTTCCTTATCTATAAGATAAGCTGGAGAAGGAAATGGCAAACCATCCCAGTATTTTTGTCAAGAAAACCCCAAATGGGGTCATAACTGAACAAAAAAAAAATACACATGGTGATCAAAAATAAGGTCTTAAAAGCTTCCTTTGTTTTTACCCCCCTTCTTACCCTTTTCTCTGGGCCCTGTTGTACCTTGCATGGCTGCCTACTTTGCTTTCCCTGCTCTAGGCTCTGAATACAGGAGCACTTCTAGAATCCAAGGATTGTTATCCTTTTTTTCTTTTTTTTTTTTTTGGCTACACAATGGGGTTAAGTGACTTGCCCAGGGTCACTCAGCTAGTAAGTCTCAAGTGTCTGAGGCCAGACTTAAGCACAAGTCCTCCTGGCTTCAGGGCCAGTGCTCTATCACTGCACCACCTAGCTGCCCCAGATTGTTATCCTTTTCAAAGTCATTCCCTTATGAATCTATGTACCCACTCCAACCATGCTGTTTGTGACATTTCTAGAACTCTTTTTTTTTCTAATTATGTATTCATTGGAAACTTTTCAATATGAGTGATAATTTTATCCTCTGAGATTGTTTCATTTTTTTTTCAAAATAGGTGAAATTAATTTGAAGTCGAGTCTTATAGATAAGATAAATCATCTTTTGCTTAAAACACAAGATGCCATCAGTGGATGAGCCTGATTTTGTTACATGGTGGCTTTGAAAATACTTCCGAACAGAGTTTCAGAAATGTGGTAGATTTTTCTGGGGGGGGGGGGAGTAGGCACGCAAAATAAATATGTAAAATCTCTAGTTTGTAGGATGGCACTTCTTTTACATATGAGTTCTGGTACATTTGAATTAAAAAATTAATCTCATTACTAACTTCACATTTTATTTTTCGTGTGCTGTGGGAAAAGAAAAAAAACATTCTGCACAAAAATGGAAAGAAAACATGGATTAGAATGAAAAGCCTTGTAGTCTAGTTCTGGTTGTAGAACTAACTAATCAGTTGTATATCCTTGGGGATGTTATCAGGACTGAAACTTGTGACTCAGTTTCCCCATTTGCAAAATAGAAATTGTCATAACAACGAAACCTCATATTTAAATAGCACTTTATACTTTTTCCAAAACACTTTTACCATCATTATATCATTAGTTCCTCACAACAAACTTTTGAAGTAGACAGGATTACCCAAAGGAATTATTTCCAGGATTTTTAGACTAGATGATCTCTAAGGTACCATTCAGTTCTAAAATTCTTTGGATAAAATGGATCAACAAAAAGAAAAGCTATTTCATATTGTATTAAATTCAGTGTATTAGCATATATACTGTAAGTAAACACTAGAAGGTATTATAATGATAACTGAAACATTACCAAGACCTTTATGAGGGCTTTTAAAAAATACTCATCCCTTTTTGTTGGGGAGTCCTAGTTACTGATGGTCAATTTATAGTTGGTGGACAAAAAGCATTATATAAATGGGAATTATTATTAGGACTCTCAAGTATTGAAACAGCTTATTAGGCAGAAGTTAGTAGCTATATCTTCTAGACCCCAGATTCTGTTCTTTCTAACATTCCCTGGATTAATTTAGTATTTCTCTTAGCAGCTAGTAATTAACATTTGCTAGAATATTTGAGATTCAGCTTCATTTGAGTGACATTCAATATACATCTATGCAGGAGAGCTCGTGCACTTTACTTTTAGGGAAGACTCTTAGGACCATTAGCATCTGAGTGAGGCTATTTACTCTTATTTAGCACACAGTTCTAACACTGTTTAGGTCTCTGGTTTCTGAAGCCCAGAGCAAATTAGCCTATGAGAGGAGAGTTGGTAGAGACAGTTATCCTGACAGCAGGGACAAGTGCCAAGTGACAGCCTGACAGCAAGAAAGAAAGCACAAAAACTATAATAAGCAGAGAAAAAAATCCAAATAGCAGAGTAGCCTTGAGGCCATTTAATATAAGAGCAAACAGGCTGATCCAACTTGCTAGCCCTGAAGGCATCACTATAATACAGCCTTAGGAGTAATAAAGAAAAGGTTGCACTATATTCACTGTTATATTTAAAATCAGTTAAAATTGCATTTTTGAAACATTTCCAACTGAATTGTTAAAATGAAAAGTTTATAAACCATAAGCTTTCTGGGAAAAAAAAATAAAAACAACAATAACAACTCATTTGGGATGACTTATTCACTGAGGGTAATAGATAACTGGGGTTTACCATATTTCTGTGTTGTGACCATATGTGTTTTTTCCCTAACTCTTCTCTTCCTGTAGAAGGGGATGTTATAATAATAGCTATTGTTACGAACAAACCTTTAC